TGGCCTCAAGCCAAGGCCTCAGGTGGGAGCGAGCTTTGCCAAGCCTGGCAAGGCCTACACCGGACAAACCAGGGAGATGATGCCTCCAGGCTGGTGCTGAAGGGTGAGGCTTGAAGGAAGGCACTTCATAACGGCCTCACGCTGCACCTAGTCTGTGGATGAACAAGGATGAAGAAGGACTGCCAATCCAGAATCCTTCGTGCAGAGCTAAAGGGATGGCACAGCCGGGCTAGTTTCTGCTCAGCCACCTTCTCTGCAACACGAGGCAGTTCTTGCAATCAAAGGGAACATGGCCTTTTTTTGTCCTTGCTCTCATTTTCTGCATGGTACCTAGGGAGAGATCACCTCCAAAGACTACTTGCCTGGGAATTTTGTGCCAATTCAGCTAGTACTAAGGGTTTCACTGAACTCTATTAAAAATGCATAATGTCCACTTATATCAAAAGGGCGGATTCAGACCCAGCACTTTTCCAGCATGTCCCAGGCTACCTGCTGTTATGGCATTCAGGAGATGGATAGGAAGGAACCGTCCCTTGAGGCTTATATCAAGAGATAAGAAAGGGCACATTCATTCACTATTTCAGGGCTGGGTTAGAGAGGGGAAAACAAGGGAGAGGAGACATAAAAATGCTCCTGCCACAAAACCTAAACACATAGAAACTCAGGGAGGAGGGAAAGGAGACATGTTACACCTGAGATTTATAAAAATTATGGGTAAGCAGTAACATTGCAGGCTCAGCCCTGCATCGGTCTCTGAAGACTCACAAAGGCATTGGGAAAAGTGTCAAAGAAGCTCAGGAGGGACAGAGACACAGAGAGAGGCATTGCTGCATCCCTCCCCAGCCCCCCTCAACTGAAAATTACAGCCTGACTCCCTCCGAGCTCCTTTTTGTATCAGAGCAGCAGAACAACGGTGCCGAGATGCTGCTCTGACATTTTCCAAGGTTGTCCCTTTGAACCTTAGCATATCGACTTGTTTGCATGCTGGGTATGGAGTGTGCCGGAGCCAAATTCCAGGAGGAGGCAAGCCTGCCAGCAAGAGGGGTATGGGAGAAGAGGCTCAGGCAGTCCTGAAGGATCTCGGGATAAAGCAGGGAAGGGTGTTGTTTGCCTGGAATCTGGAATGCTTCACAGAGGATGCGAATGTGAAACACACAGCATCATGCTGACAGCAGTGTACATAAACAGAGCAGTATTTTCCTGCTCCCTCCCCCTTCTTATTATAGCACAAAACACCCCGAGTAAAATACACACACACACAACAATCCACTATAAAAGGAAAGCAAAGCCCCCGGGGTGTGCACGTACATGCACACATAGATATACTTCTGGAGAACGTAGCATATATTCAATACCTTAAATGTCATTTTTTAAATATTAATGCTGTGCTTCCGGCTCGGTTTATGTAAGGTTTATTACCACAGGATTGGAGGCACGAGAAAACCTAAAGTAGATGCTTACAGCTTGACACACACTGCCTGCCCCAGCTGTCCAGAGGCCCACTCCTTGACAGTGCTCCATCTCCCACTTCCCGACTCCAAAGCCACGCAGCAGCAGGGCCGGGGCAGACAGACTCCCACCAGGCTTTTTCCTGGGAAGGGGCAGAGCCACAGCTCCCCTTGTCCCTCTTCCCTTTGCCTGCGGCTCGCCATCTGGCACTGTCAGGAGGATCTCTGCTCGGAACCACGCTGCAGTCTGGCACAAACAAGAGCGGAGGCCTCTCTCCGGCTAAACAACCACCTCATTAGCCGAGGGAGCGCAGGGCAAAGGGAAGAGCACGAGGGCAAATATTCAGCAAATAGTAGGGTGCGTTTCAGCAGTGCACGCACACGGGAGGGAGCAGCGTACCAGCTGGAGCAACCCAAGGGCTCATGCCATCCACGTTTCCCCATGTGACCTGGCTGGCAGCCTCCCCGGCTACCCTGATGGCAGCTCACTCCCCCCAGCAGCACTGTCTGGTTTCCAGGCTGCAGGCAGCCTCAACAGGGGAACCTTGCCTCAGGCTTTCTGTGAGTTTCTTCAGGCCTGGAATAATAGGCTGGGCTCTCTATTATCACTGCCTTGTGGTGCCAGACCTGAGACACACCTACCTACAAGGAAAGAGAAGGGTCAGTTTTGGAAATGACACACCCAAGCTCCTCAGCGCCAACTCCGGCATTAGGAAGGGAGAACCTTGTTTGATGGTCTCACCTACCTTGCCCTGCAGATGAGAAGGACACAAGGCTCTGGGAGAGGCCATGGAGAAAAAAAAAAATAGCAAAGTTTAGCCCCTTTGCCAAACTACAACAATTCCCCTTCTTCCCATGGGAGGCTGAGCAGTAGCTGCTCATAACCACAAATCAAACACTCATGTCAACTGTCCATGCAACAAGACCCCTCAGCCTCTTTATGGCACTCCCTTTAAGCCCCAGTGTCCGCCTCATGCTCTGGAATGGATCCTTGCTTGTACTGTGGTTGCCATGTGCATACTGGGCAAAAAGATCTTCCTAGCCCAGTTATTATTCTCCAAGGGCCAAACAGAGCCCAACAGATTTTCTTACAGGGTGGAACAACACGTTGTGCTATTTGCACAGCCCGTTTCCAGCAACTACTGCCCTTGTTGCTGTGCTACAGACAGCAATTACCAGCCTTTTAGTCTGTTGGGCTTCAGTGGAGGGGAAACTGGCAGATAATTCTGTGACACATCTACTCTGAAGCCAAAGTTTCTTTTTCTTCTAGTAAAGGAACAGCAAGCAACTGTAAGAGCTGTCATCCCATCCAAAATCTCCTTATGTCCTACTCAAGAAGTCGATCTCACGGGCTTCACCTACACAAGCTACCAGAGATGCCTCCTCATCACCCAGCTCATCTTCTGCAACCAGCCTTTGAGTGCTGGGGAGACCAAAAGAAAAGCCGTGGTGATGTATCAGCAGGTGGTGCTCTCCCCTTCAAATCAGGAACAAGTTAACCCCTACCCTGGCATTTCACCACTGGGATTTGCTCCAGTGAAGATACCTCAGCCTAATGCAAGACCCCTCTTCTCGGCACTGCTGGGGGAGGCAGAGCCTAAATCAGTTCAGAGCCCAGGAGTGGAAA